CAGAGAGAGATTAAAGGTCTTTTTGTCAGACAAAATGCCGATGTGGGGTTTTAACAGACAGAAACCTCCCACAGTGTCGCAAAGCGGGAATGGTCCCTTGTTGCACAAGTCTGTTTTCATGTGAATTTGTAATCATGAGAGGCAAATTACAAACTGCTGGAGTTGGGGACAAAATATGGCACCAAAGTTGCTGAATTAATCCAAAATTAAAGATTTTAAAAGCAAATTGATTTAAGAATACAGATTATATTATCGGATTTCTCCAGCTGCAGTAATCTGTAGGCTTCCACGTGCCATTAGAAAACACACAAAGTGACAATTGGATGTTTCTTGTAGAAATGCACCTTAGGAGTCGAAGTTAACTTTTAACCCAGAGTTATTATGTTCACAGACTTGACTCTTATTAACTGAGCTGAAGAGCGGGAACTATATTTCCCCTGCCCCCACGTGTCCCCCAATATCAAAGTTCTTGTGGGTATTATTTTTTCTTGTACTACTACAGGTATGGTTAGGTAGATATGGGTCCTAAGCAGAAGGAAGTTTTTTGAAGATCATAAAGTTGCATGTTATAGTGATGTGTGTGTAAAATATGGATACTTCTTATATGTGTAATATAGCTGAAAACAGTCTGGAGTCAAATTGACCCCAAAGAACACCGATCTGTAGAAATGTGTACAGGACATTGAAAAAATATATAATCATGTTAATTTTGTTTTACTCAGTTGTCCCATTAAATTAGGACAAGTCATTAAATATGAAGCAAAAAAAAATGATGTCAAACCATTTATTTAGAGACGTTGAACATTGAATGGGGTCAAATTGACTCCAAAGACAATAGGAGGGTTAAAGTTGACAGTAATTGACAGACCTTTGAACAAAATTGTTGTTCTGCTGTTACTATGACTTACGAGCACATATCGGCAGACATGGGACCATGAGCCAAGCAAACAATTGCGGGTGTCAACCTTACTGATCATGTTGTAGCCTGCAATGAAATGCCAGAACACAAAACCGTCAATGAGGAAAAAAAAACTGCCATGTCAATTGATATCTTGTTTAGTATTCCCACTCACACACTCACTAAAAATAAATCATACTGTCTATGAATGTATAAATCAGTCTCGATCCACATAACCCTTCATTACAATAGTATTTGATAACTGTTCCAAAGAGAAAATCATGTGTACCACGGACAATTTCAAAATAGCCATTGGGAATTTCATCAGGAGTTCACATTGTTGTACTGGAAAAACAAGACAAAAGATTATTCATTAACCAAAACAGTTTCCAAAAAAAGAGGTTTTTATCAAGGTTTTTGTTGAAAGCACAAGTGACAGTGACTTGACTTTGTTCCTCTTTTCTTCATTTGATGATAACACTATTTATGTGCAGCAGCCATTTTATTGGTTGGTGGCACTGAAGAGGCAGTTTTTATGTTTAGTTACTAGACTTTGGTTGTCAGCAACAAAATGCAGCTTTTTTTCCCCAGCTCTAAGTAACATAATGCTGAATAATCACAGTCACTTTTGCAGTTAATTTGGGGAAAGTGACAGAATTATTTTCAGATATTTCTGAATGTTAGCATGCACACTGTAATTATCATCTCTTACGAATGGACAATTAATAGTATACAATTACAATTGTGTCAATATTCAGTCAAACTACTCTGGGACTTCCTGGGACTCATCCTCAACCTCCATTCTAACGCAGCCTCCAAACTAACCTAAAGCTTAATTGTACTTTTAACCAAAAACTGTAGTAAAGTAAGAGTCCCTGCAATGTCACAGAGCTGACAACTTACAGAGGGCGGATGAAAATCTGAGTCTTACACATACCATGCATACTATATAATACAGAATGCATGTATAGTAATTTTTATATTGTGTAATAGAATTTTTGTTGAGTGTTTGTTAAAATTTGGCTGCAGGAATTGAAATGATTAATTTTTAAAATTATTATCATTATTATTATCATTATCATTTATTCTTAATACAATTTAATGCTTTCACCTTGAAGTTTTGTTGCTCCAGTTTTGGCAATTTGGTGCACAATTTGGTTCATTTTATGTCAAAGGTTATTTTCTTTTTTTTTCTGTTAATGCACTTTCCCTTCCCTGTAAAACAGTGCTGGGTTATAAAAAATTTGTGAGATTTTTGCAGGCATGTTACTGAGAGAGACCACTGACACAGAGTATTTTGATAGATGAAACATAGTTTTAAAGGCTGAAGCCACTTTTGATTTTTTGTTATACTTCACCTTTTCAAAGCTTTTTATACAGTTCAGTGCCAACACACAGCTATAACTTTTAAAACCCATATAAATAGGCCTGAGGTTCTGAATAAAAATTAAAACTAGCTTAACTCCATAATCCAGACCAACACAAATGCTGTTAAAAATCAGTATCACATTTAGATACATTTTTTTTTATATTTTCTTTCTACACAGAAAATCATAGAATTTTTTTTTTTTGAGACTTCTGTGGACCTTGAGGAAAATCTGCATCACTGTTCCAGAGTGGGAGCAAGTGGAGAATGATTTCTGTCTTCAGTATCACATATAATGGGTGTAATGCATACATTTCGCAGTTCTACGTAACTTTGTTATTAAACTAAGCAAATATATATAGGGAAATATAAGGATATGTGCCTTTGTCTTGTATGATATACATGTTTTCTTTTTTTGTTACCCGTTCATGGTGGTTATATTTACCCATATGCTGTACTTCAAGTGTCAGAGTGAGGTAAGCACTTTTTTATTTAGTTTTTCTTAACCTAAACTGTCGTATAGTTCAATACATGAAATATTACTGTTAATAGCTCATAGTTTTTTGAAATTCAATGTTCAGTTCTTTTCATTATTAATATGCACAATGCTAAATATTGTGGGCTCATATAATATTTGAGGTGATTTAACTTTGTACTAGCTGTTTTGAAAATGTCCCAAAGCTGAAGCTGAATTGTTTTTGGCTCATTTTTTAAAATGCATTTTTTACACAGTGGAAAATGTGGATTTTTGTTCCCTATTATTTTTTACAGTGTAGTTACCCCACCACAGAGGGATCTCTTTATGGCCAGTATGGTGAGGACAAATGATTACAGGGACCAAATAACTCTGTCAAGCGCCAAAATTGTTTGTGTGTATGTATTAGGATAGACTCGAAGCGATCCTAATTAGCAGTGTAGTGTCTTCAATCTATTCCTTTCAGTACATATTTTTTTCTGACTCTTAATATGTAATCTAGACGCTAAAATGAAATACGTATTCTGCCTATTCAGCATATTCATGTGTGTTTCAAAGTAGCCTAAAAATAAAAATAATAATAATAATAATAATAATACATTGGATTACAGAGTTTTAAAAACCATAAGGCATTATTTCACTGAACAATCTTAATGTCCTCTTAAAGCTTTCTGCGAATTACTTTGTAAAATGCTTTTGGATGTACGTACGTGTAGGACTACATAGTAAACTTTCTCTCCTCCCATTGCCCATTGATGCAAGTAATCTCTGCCGACTCCCTCCATTGTATATTGATTCACGGCATTGATAAGTTACTTTAGAGCCAGACGTGTATTCCGTCTGATCTGAAGTGTCAACAACAGCATGTGCAACTTCAGGTGGGTTAGGGCAGGGATTGCCATTAGCTGAAAGAGATAAAAACACTTGATATTAGGTTATACCTCAAATCTCTCTATCAATGCCTACATCTACACCTACACCATTTTCCCCTGACATGCATCAAGCGATTATCTGAGCGATGTGTCCTTCCTTACAAATAATCTGGAGGCCTTCACTGAGCCCATATTTGTTACGCTGAGATGTCGCTTCCCTATTAGGAATTACAGGAAGTTTTCCACACTTGCATTTTCTGGAGTTGATACAATAACAATTTGTATATATCGTGTTAACAATAATATTAGCATTATATACACAAACATTCTCCATTCAAAGTTATCCTGCATCATGGCTGCCACTTTTTTCAAAAAAAAAAATCAAGTTTCAATCAGTTGATGAAAACACGTAAAATTTAATCTTAGTTACATTGTGGCTGTAACTTTTGTTTCTCATGCATTGTTGTTGTTAAGTTTTTGTATAAACAGACGACACCTACAATTCCATACTGTGAAAAAGTAGTTTTGACGACAGTTCGACAATTGATTTTCTGATTTCTGCATCCTCTGACTAGTTCTTTATCTAGCTACTGTATTTCAGGACTGGAGTTTCCTTCAGAGTGTGTATTGACGCACATATTTTGAAACTAATTCATGGTACTACTTTCTTGTCTTGTCTCTATCCCGCAGTCCTCCAGAAGAGCAAGAATGAGCACATGAATACAGAACATTTACCAATCCTTTAAGAATATAAACCTGTACAACCTGTAAAATGTAAAATGCAAGGCCCCTTTTTTTCCTGACTAATTGTAAAGATGGAAATGAGGCATTGACCTGTTGTCCCCCAGTGTCACTTATTAATGAATCAGTTTGAAATGATACAAGAGAAGAATAATAAAATAATAAGATGCATGCAGCAACAGGTAAGAGATGCTTGCAAACCTCACACATTTCACTGTATTATTGCTGTTCTTTAGAAAACCACTTTTTCCTCCAACATCACAGTTTATTTGTGTTTTTACTCGAAGTGATTTATTTCTCAATAATCTGAAGTAAGTGAAACTGTTTTGGAAGTCA